GTGAAAAGCGTACTTAATCAGCAAGTACATGGAGTCTCCTACATAAATAGCTCAGCACTGTATTTAGTTCTCACCATTTTCACCAGGCTGAGGGGCCTGCCAGGAAAATACTTGACTTTCTTTCCAGCAAGGTTATCTTAGAAAAGAGTTTTTATGTTTGTTAATCCTGGAGTCTTCCTATAAGAAACTTCTTTTGGTTTACTGTCTTGTTTATAAATAAATCTTTTAGCTTTTTGTTAGGTATTTTATGAGGTTTTATAGATTTATAGGGAGAATAGCCTTCTTGTGCTAGGACATAAAACTCTTAAATTTGCCTTCAGCCCTAGGAAGTGGTCAGTTTATATTTGTTCTTTATATAATTCTTTTTCCTGTTGACTGAATGAGGCTGAAATTCATTTAGACAGTATTTATTTGGGTGTCACACCTAGTGTTATGATGCAAGGAAAATAAAAAAAACAAGGACCCTGTTCTGTTCTCATGGAGTTTTCAGTTAATGGAGAAGAGGGGCATTGTTCAAATGATCTTGTCCTCTGGGCCATACTAGCAACTTGAGAAATCCCAGGAATGAGAGAAGCCTGGTCCCGCAAGGGAAGTGAACAAGAAGTGAGGGAAAACTTTGCTGAGGAAGTCTGGAGATCTGAATGATAAGTAAAAATTAAATAGGTCAAGATCAGAGGCATTTTGGCAGTATGGGGAAGCAGCATGTGCAAAGGAGCTGTGGCAGCAAGGTGGTATACCTGTTAAGGAAACTAAAAGGTGTAACTATATGTGAATTTACAATTATAAAAAAAAAACGTCAGGGAAAGAATGTTTGAGGATGAAGTGGGAGAGGTAGGCCAGGGCCCTTGGAGATCATTGTGAGGAGTTTCACTTTTAGACCAAAAGCAGTGAGACCACACTGAAGAGTTCTAAACAGGGAAGAAGGTGATGGGATGACCAGTTTTGTATTTTTGGAAAGATCACTTGGGCCATTGTGTTCAGAACATCTTAGAGCAGGGATGGGGAAC